CAATATTTCTCCTTTTTTATTATATTCTCTTTTTTTTTATAGCAACGCGTTCGATCAAAAATTAGCAGTGGCAATGTTAAGAATTGCTGAAGGCTTGGATTGTTCAGAGATCGTCGCGACGAACGAGATGAAAAACGGTGACGAGGAACATGGGATACTCGCGCAGAGTAGTTACGATTTAACTGGGAACACTTTAATGCACGTCGACAGCAATTTGTCTATGTCCAGTCAGATACCGAGAGTGCAGAGCGTCCCAACGATGGGTAATTAAAAATATCTCCATTTCAGAATTCCTATGAATAATAAATGATGTTCCTTTTTTCGATATTAGATGTAACATCGGTTTTAGGAAGTCAATTCGTTCCCGATCACAACCCGCAGATAATTAGGGACTCGCCTACTCACGGAAGTGCCCGGGACCAGTTGAAACACAAGCGGAAACACGCGATAGAGAAATTGATGTAATTATACTCACTTGTTTAAAAATAATTCAACAAAAATAGTTTCAGGATTTGAATGTTTAATTAAGGATGTATTGGCTATACAGTCAATCCTAAATGTTTATACACTTTAGAAACACATTTTTTAAAAAGAAATCAGACGTCGGAAGAACATTGGTAATAATNGTTTTATATTCTCTACACAATTAGTTTTCATATAAATCCATGAAATCTAATGATATTCAATAAGACGTATTTGATAAAAACATTTCATACGCAGTGACCGAGAACCATTTAAATCTTCTCAAGGAGAGGATCTTCGCTTTACCTGATAACATTTTTATCAATAAGTATTACACTAGTTTTTCATCAGACGCCATCATCTCACCCCGTCCGAACCCTAATTGATACAGATCGATTCGGCTCGGGTACGGGTCTTTGACACGGCCTCCAATAAAAACTGGTTCTTTCCCTCTCGAGGATTTCGCGTTGCTCTTTCGCACGCGAGCGTGTGTATTTAAGTGGGTGTGCACGCGTGTACTCCCGGAGTGCGTTGTTTTATGGGGAAAGGGAAGCTCGACGCATGCCTCCTGCCACAGTTTTGCTTAAGCTTCCTTTCCTTTGATTCGTTTCGCCTCGAGGAGGGTACTATCTCGAAGAAGCGGCGTTCCGTTCCGTTCGTACGCTCCGCTCGGCCGTTGTGTCAGTGTCGGGTCGCGCTTCTGATCCACCGGTGATCCGCTAGCCACGGGATCGCTCGTCGATCCACGGCTGGATCATCAAACGCCAACTTGTCAGCCCCGAAATATATTCAGAAAAGTGAGTGAGAAACACGTCAAATTGGTGCATATGAAAAATCAACTTTCAAAATCATTTATCACGTTTTGTCTCATCCGTTGTCAAAATCAATTTGGTGTCAAACAGATTTATAATAAACACGTTGGAATTTTACTAGTAAATCATTTGTTCGGTCGTTATCAATATTACTTTTAATAATTAGAACATCACCTGATTTTGTATAATCACTGTAAATTGCTTATAAAAAAAATTAGTGAAAACAAGTAGAAATGAC